GACCCACCGTACACCAGGCTGGGGGCAAGGGAGGGACAGCGTCAGTGACAGTCATGCCCCCCCACACCCTGCCTCCAGCTCCCAGGGGGCAGGGCATGGGGCCTGTCCTCTCTAGGGGGCGCCAGCTCCCATCTGGCCCCAGGGCAGGGACAGGCTGGTGCAGGGGGGCAGGGTATGGGGCCTTTCCCCTCGGCGAGGGGGGGTGTGTGTGGGCGAGCCCCGTCAGTGATCCCTCTGCCGTGAGGAAGGGGCTTTCACCAGGGATTCCCCCCCTCCACGTGTGTCCCCCCCCCCAGTTGTGTCTCCCCCCCGCATGCGCTGGAGAAGCAGAACCCGCCCCACGGATCCCCCCTCCACAGCCCCACAGCTCCTCGGAGAAGCGGGAAGATTTCCCTCCATCACCCTCCCAGCATCTGGCACAGGAGTGTGGACACAGAAGGGAATTCTGGGAAACGTAGTCCCTGGCCCTGGCCACAGATGTCTGATCCCCCCCCGCAACACTTTCCAGCTTCGCTGATGGCACTGGAAGGAGCCTGGCACCAAAACGGAGCCGCACAGCTCCCCGCAGCCCTGCCCTGCCCCCCCCAGCTCTGCTGGTGCCCCTCATTCCCGACCCGCAGCCCCCTGCTCGCCCGGCCCTGCCCGTGCCCCTCACTCCCGACCCGCAGCCCCCTGCTCGCCCGGCCCTGCCCCCCCAGCTCTGCCGGTGCCCCTCACTCCTGACCCACAGCCCCCTCTCGCCCGGCCCTGCCCCCCAGCTCTGCTGGTGCCCCTCACTCCCGACCCCCCACCCCCTCCCCCCCCCCCCCCCCCCCCCCCCCCCCGTGCCCGTCACTCCAGACCCGCAGCCCCCTGCTCGCCCGGCCCTGCCCGTGCCCCTCACTCCCGACCCGCAGCCCCCTGCTCGCCCGGCCCTGCCCCCCCAGCTCTGCCGGTGCCCCTCACTCCTGACCCACAGCCCCCTGCTCGCCCGGCCCTGCCCCCCCAGCTCTGCCGGTGCCCCTCACTCCCGACCCGCAGCCCCCTGCTCGCCCGGCCCTGCCCCCCCAGCTCTGCCGGTGCCCCTCACTCCCGACCTGCAGCCCCCAGCTAGCCCAGCCCTGGGCTTCCCTCCATCCCCAAGAGGTGTGAAGACAGATTTAGATATTTCCAACCACCTACTAAGCAGAGAGAACTGCCGCTGGGAACCGTACCCCGATCAGACCCTAAGCTCTGCCCAGCAAGTACACCCCCTCTCCCCGTCACAAGAGAACCCAGGAGTCCTGGCTCTCAGCCACCCCCTGCTCTAACCACAGAACTCCTCCGCTCACAGCACTGAACCGCTCGGACTCTCCGTTCCTCCTGGCGCCCATGGGCCATGCAATGCTGGACAGGCGCAACCGGGAGCTGAGGGATCCATGCACCATGCAGCCAAGGCACGGCCCAGGCTGCGGGGCCCTGGGGCATGCAGCCCCTCGATGCAACCGGCTGCGGACGGATGCAGGCATGAACCACGGCAAAGCTGCAGCCTCTACAGAGAGGCATATGAACGTGCCAGGCGCATGCAGAATGAGGTATGCGCCGCAGCGCGAATGCATGGGATTTGCCAGGGCCCAGGCCCGCTGAGCGATGCATGCACTGCGGTAAATCCATGCACTATGTGGCTGCAATCCCCTGTAGAAGGGCGGATGCAACAGGCAGTGAATGCAGGGGCTGCGCTAAGGAGCCCCTGCTTTGAGAGATGCAGGAACCACAGCAATTGCATGCATCACGGGATGCGACCTGCTGCAGAGAGATGCATGCACAGTTGCATGCATCACGGGATGCGACCTGCTGCAGAGAGATGCATGCACAGTTGCATGCATCACGGGGTGCGACCTGCTGCAGAGAGATGCATGCACAGTTGCCTGCATCATGGGGGTGCGGCCTGCTGCAGAGAGATGCAGGCATCACAGCAAATAGATGCATCACTCAGGTTCAAGAGAGTTGCAGCTAGCATGGAAAATGCATGCACTATATGGATACAACTGCCTGCAAACACAAGCAAAGGAATGTCCTATGAGGCAAACCTCCCTGTGGTAGGATACACACCCATGCAGGAAATGCATGCACCCAGGGACCTCCTGGCAGAGAAATGCATGGACCACTGTAAATGCACAGGCCTCAGAGGTACAAAAACCCACAGAGAGCTGCCTGCAACCTTGCAAATGCCTTCACCAAGCAGGTGCGTGCACCATGTGGCAAATGTATGCACCATGCTGGGGAGCAACTGCTTGCAGACAGATGCAAATGCATGCATTATGCACATGCAACCGCCCGCAGCAGGATGCATGCGCCATGCAACAAACGCCTGGGCTGGGCAGGGGCCCGCACCTGCAAGGGAAGGTGTGTGCCACACAGGTGCAATCGTCAGCAAGAGGGTGCAGGCGGCACCGAAAAGTCCCTTCACCAGCCAGAGGCAACTGCGTCTACCATGCACTTCCCAGACAGCACCCCAGCGCATCTCTGCGCTGTGCAGCAGATGCAGGGGCCATGTCGGGGGGTTCTGCTTGCTGAGAGATGCCTGCACCTCCCCACCCGCCTCCAGGACACATGCAGCAGAGCCCCAGCATGCACCGAGGCAGCAGTGCAGCCGCCGGCAGAGGAAATGCACCGCAGGGTGTGAGGAGCAGGCCAGGTGGGCACCACCCTGCACAGCCCCCCCCCCCCCGAAACACATCCCACAAGCAGGCAAGAGCCCAGTCTCTGAACCCCAATGCCCTGCCCCCAATCCCACTAGGCCCCACTCCCAGAGAGGAGTCCTGGCTCCCAGCCCTCACCCCCCCACTCTAACCACTAGACCCTTCTCCCCTCCCAGAGCTGGGGTTAGAACCCAAGAGTCCTGGCTCCCAGCTGCCCCCCCCCCGCTCTAACCACTAGACCCCCCCTCCCCCACCTTCCAGCTCCTGGAACCAGCAGCTTCCACTCACGGGGGCTCTGCTCGGGGGTGCCACACAGAGATTGGTGCCAGAAGGGCTTCTGGGGGGCAGAATGCAGACGCCACTGGGGGTGTGGGGAACAGCCAACGCCTGGGGGGACTGCGTCCCGTCTCCCCTCCAGGGTGGGTGGGAGGTCACACACTCACCGCCGCCCCCTGCCGAGGGGGACACCCCCCCAGCCCTCATTCTGTCGGGGGAGCAGCCCAGAAACCCACAAACTCATCACACACCTGGGTGTTGGGGGGGGACGCAGGCTCCTGCCCCCCACGCTGGAACCAGTGGGGCCGGCTACAGGGGGACAGAGCTGAGCCAGAGGAAAAGAAACCCCCTCCCCCAATGGCCTCCCCACACACCTCCCCTTCCCCCAAACATCTTCTCCCCCCCCCCCCAATGCAGTCGCACAGCACAACTCCGCAGGGGGGCAACTCTCAGACCCATGGTCCACAGAGAGACACCAAGAGCCAGGGAAGGTCAGAGCCTGCAGCAAAGCCAGGGAGAGAACCCAGGAGTCCTGCCCCCCGCCTCCCCTGTGGTAACCACTAGACCCTACTCCCCTCCTAGAGCTGCGAGAGAACTCAGGAGTCTTGCCCCCCCCCCCAGCCCCCACTGTGGTAACCACTAGACCCCACCCCCCTCCCACAGCCAGGAGAGAACCCAGGAGTCCTGGCTCCCAGCCCCCTGTGCTCTAACCACTAGATCTTACTGCTTCAGACACGTTCAGAGAAAGGTCTCTCAGAAGGTACCATGACATCTCAGGCTAACGCCTCAGGGCTTCGTTGGGCCTAAGGTACAGGGACCACACACCGGGTGCAGGGAGATGTGGCCACCCCTGGGGTGGGGTGCAGCTGCTGGAGAACAGCTGGGCAGCATGGGTCCCCCCCAGTTGCAGCTATGGGACTCCTGGGTTCTATTCCTGACTCGTGGAGGGGAGTGGGGTCTAGTGGTTTGAGCTGGGGAGTGGGCCTGGGAGCCAGGACTCCTGGGTTCTGTCCCCAGCTCCGGGAGAGGAGTGGGGTCTAGTGGTTAGAGCGGGGCGGCGGGGGGGGCGGGGAGAGCTGGGAGCCAGGACTCCTGCCTTCTGTCCCTGGCTGTAGGATGGGAAGGGGTTCTAGTGGTTTGGAGCTGGGGGAGGAGGGGAGAGCTGAGTACTAGGACTCCTGGGTTCCATTCTTGACTCGTCGTCTGACCTGGGGGGGGTCTGCGCTTGCTCTCTAAGGGGGGGTTCCCGGAGCCCCTCCACCAGCGGCTACACCCCCAAATGCCTCCCAGCACCCCGGTGTGGGTTGGTGCTGCCCAGGGCCTGGAAAAGGCCCCGCTTATCCCAGCCCCCCACCCTGATCCCATCCCCATCCCCTGCTCTCTAAGAGGCCTATTGGGGGGCAGGGGGATCCTCATCCTCCGCCTCCCCAGCTGGGGGGGCCCCAGGGTCCTGACAACCGGCCCGTGCCAGATGGGCCGGGGAAGGGGCCCCCCTCTCCGAAGCTGAGCCCGGCTTGGCACAGGTGTGTGCAGGGGGGGGACGGGGGACGACCCTGGGCCCGCCACCCCCGTGCACGGAGTTGGGGGGCTCCCTTCCCTGCACCCCCGTCCCCATGCAAAGGCTTGGGGCCCCCCCATGCACCCTCGCCCCTCCCTTTTCCCGGGGGGGCCCAATCCCGGCAGGCCGCGGCGCCACCCCCATTGCGCCGCGCCCGGGTCCCCCCGCGCCCTCTCCAAGCCGGCGCCGTGCGCCCCCGGGGCCGCTCACCTGGCTTTGGCCGAGCGCTCGTAGCTCCATCCCGGGCCGGCGCCCAGCGGGTCCCCGAAGCCGGCGCTGGGGTAGTTCCTGTCCATGGGGCCGGCGGCGGGGGGGCGCAGGGCGCGCGCCCCGGGGGCCCCCAGGTGCCGCGCCTCGGCCTGTGCGCCCCGGCGCGTCCCCTGCAGGGGCGGGGGGGGGGCTCGGCGGGGAGGGGGGGCTCGGGAGGGGGGAGCTGCCGGAGGGGGGGTTCCCCCCGCCGCTGCGCCCTCCGCTGCCCCCGGCCGGGGCCCGCCCGCCTGGCTGGCTCAGGCCCCGGGCTGGCGGCGCTGGCGCTGGGGCTGCGGGAGGCGGCGGCCGCTGGCGAGGCGGATCATGGTGCAGCCATGTTCGCTGGGTGTCTCTGTCCGCCCCGCTTCCTCCCACAATCCCGTGCTGGGGGGAGGAGAAGGGGGGGAATGAGACAGAGACGGGGGAGGAGGGAGAGAGACGGGGGGGGTCGTCGGGGATGGAGGGAGTGTGGGGCGGGGAGACTGGAGGAGGGTGGGAGTGGGGCAGAGACGGAGGAGGGAGGGAATGGGGGAAATGGGGTAGGGGTGGAGGAGGAGAGAAGGGTCAAGGAAGGAGGGAGTGGGGCAGAGAGGAGGAGGGAGGGGTGGGGGGGAGGAGGGAGTGGGGCAGAGAGAGAAGGAGGGAGGGGATGGGGCTGAGAGAGGAGGGAGGGAGGTGGGGCAGGAGGGAGTGGGGCAGAGAGAGAAGGAGGGAGGGGTGCGGCAGGAGGGAGTGGGGCCGAGAGAGAAGGAGGGAGGGGATGGAGGGAGTGGGGCAGAGAGAAAAGGAGGGAGGGGTGGGGCAGGAGGGAGTGGGGCTGAGAGAGGAGGGAGGGGTGGGGCAGGAGGGAGTGGGGCCGAGAGAGAAGGAGGGAGGGGTGCGGCAGGAGGGAGTGGGGCCGAGAGAGAAGGAGGGAGGGGATGGAGGGAGTGGGGCAGAGAGAAAAGGAGGGAGGGGTGGGGCAGGAGGGAGTGGGGCTGAGAGAGGAGGGAGGGGTGGGGCAGGAGGAAGTGGGGCAGAGAGAGAGGAGGGAGTGGGGCAGAGAGAGGAGGGTGGGGCAGGAGGGAGTGGGGCAGAGAGAGAAGGAGGGAGGGGTGGGGCAGAGAGAGGAGGGTGGGGCAGGAGGGAGTGGGGCAGAGAGAGAGGAGGGAGGGGTGGGGCAGGAGGGAGTGGGGCTGAGAGAGGAGGGTGGGGCAGGAGGGAGAGGGGCAGAGACAGAGGATGGTGGATGGAGGATCAGAACGACAGCTACAGACGTGGTACCTGTGACACACACACACACGCGTGTGCAACATGCCCACCACATACACACGCACGTGCGTGACGCCCCCCCCCCCATGTGTTTGTGCAACGAAGAAAACCCCTCACTTGTGTCTGTGTCTTTCCCAGCGCAGGCGTGTGCGGTGTGAACACACACGGTCTCAGACACACAGCATGGAGCACAGGGCGGAGGCTGCTGCGGCGACCCCCCCACCCCACGCCCTCCCCGCAGGCCCTCCGGCTAAGGGCCCCCCCGGCAGGGATGGGGGGCACGACTCATTGGAACCTACTTGCCCAAGGACTGGGGCGGGCTGGGGTGGGGGTTGCATGTGAGGCCTGAGGGTGGAGCCCAGAAAATGTGGGATGGGACCCAGGCATCCGGCGCCCCCTTACAAACAGGGTCCCAAGCTGGCCCCTGCTATAGGCCAGGCCCCTTGGTCCGGCTTGGCCTACGAACAACACAGGGGATATGGCAGCCTCTGGCGGGAGGGGGAGAAAGGAGGGACTACGAGTCCCATCATGCACTGGGAGGAAGGAAGCGGGCGGCTTGGAATGAAGTGGAAGCACTGCATGCTGGGAGCTGTAGTTCCAGGGAGGGGGAGGTGGGTTAGAGGCCTTCCCGCCATGCTCCTACTCGAGGCCTTATTGGCTGAGCTGAGCTGCCTGTCTGTCTCCTGCCCACCAATCCGCTCCAATGGAGGGGCGGGACCCGCTGCTGCAGAGGAATGATAGGCACAGCAAGAGGCCAATCCGTGGCCTGCAACCTTCCCTTCCCCCAAACTGGGGCCTACAGGGCCTCAGTGCCCCTCATCCGGGCATCAGGCTGCCCTGCAAGCCACAGCGTCAGGGGGCCCATGGTGCCCACTGGGTTTCCACGTGCAAGGCATAGCTGGGCGTGCACCAGCACCATTCACACCCCAGTCGCAGGGGGCCAAGGCCTGACTCATGAAACAGTTTGCACAGATGCACCAGCGTCCCCGTGACCCCCGGCGTGGCCCACGCCCGGCCGGCGGGAGGGGCACCAGCGTCCCCGTGACCCCCGGCGTGGCCCACGGCCGGCAGGCGGGCGGGAGCCCCAGCGTCCCCGTGACCCCCGGCGTGGCCCACGGCCGGCGGGCAGGGGCACCAGCGTCACCGTGACCCCCGGCGTGGCCCACCCCTGCCGGCGGGCGGGCGCACCAGCGTCCCCGTGACCCCAGGCGTGGCCCACCCCCGGCCGGGGGCGGGCGCACCAGCGTCCCCGTGACCCCCGGCGTGGCCCACGCCCGGCCGGCGGGCAGGGGCACCAGCGTCCCCATGACCCCCGGCGTGGCCCACCTCTGGCCGGCGGGAGCCCCAGCGTCCCCGTGACCCCCGGCGTGGCCCACGGCCGGCAGGCGGGCGGGAGCCCCAGCATCCCCGTGACCCCCGGCGTGGCCCACGCCCGGCCGGCGGGCAGGGGCACCAGCGTCCCCGTGACCCCCGGCGTGGCCCACGCCCGGCCGGCGGGCAGGGGCACCAGCGTCCCCGTGACCCCCGGCGTGGCCCACCCCTGGCCGGCGTGCGCACCAGCGTCCCCGTGACCCCAGGTGTGGCCCACCCCCGGCCGGCAGGCGGGAGCCCCAGCGTCCCCGTGACCCCCGGCGTGGCCCACGGCCGGCGGGCGGGCGGGCGGGAGCCCCAGCGTCCCCGTGACCCCCGGCGTGGCCCACGGCCGGCGTGGCCCACGGCCGGCGGGCGGGCGCACCAGCGTCCCCGTGACCCCCGGCGTGGCCCACGGCCGGCCGGCGGGCGGGAGCCCCAGCGTCCCCGTGACCCCCGGCGTGGCCCACGGCCGGCCGGCGGGCGGGAGCCCCAGCGTCCCCGTGACCCCCGGCGTGGCCCACGGCCGGCCGGCCGGCGGGCGGGAGCCCCAGCGTCCCCGTGACCCCCGGCGTGGCCCACGGCCGGCGGGCGGGAGCCCCAGCGTCCCCGTGACCCCAGGCGTGGCCCACCCCCGGCCGGCGGGCGGGCGCACCAGCGTCCCCCTGACCCCGGCGTGGCCCACCCCCGGCCGGCGGGCGGGCGCACCAGCGTCCCCGTGACCCCCGGCGTGGCCCACCCCCGGCCGGTGGGCAGGGGCACCAGCGTCCCCCGGCGTGGCCCACGCCCGGCCGGCGGGCAGAGGCACCAGCGTCCCCGTGACCCCCGGCGTGGCCCACGCCCGGCCGGCGGGCGGGAGCCCCAGCGTCCCCGTGACCCCCGGCGTGGCCCACGCCCGGCCGGCGGGCGGGAGCCCCAGCGTCCCCGTGACCCCCGGCGTGGCCCACCCCTGGTGGCGCAGCAGGAGCGGCTCTTCACACAGGTACGATCATGCGCCCCGTTGTGGGAAAGGGGGCCGGCTGGGGCAGGCTTTGCATGCCTGGGAGCACTCAGCCGGCAAGAGGGGCCCCGTGAGACACGCCCTCACCCCCAGACGCAGGACACGGCGGGTTCTAGCAAACGGCTGGCGCTTTATTTCGCTGACAACAATCCCGGCGCGGGAGGCGGGGTCCCAGCCCCGGTGCAGCAGGCTCCAGGGGAATCGGGGCCATCCCCGGCCAGCTCCTCTGTGCCGCCGAATGGGATAGTTCGGGCTCCAGAGGGCTGGGGGGCCAGGTGCACTCCCAGTGCCCTGCACTCTGTCAGGCGCCACTCGTGGCACACGCATGCGCTTGTGCCTTGCACACATGCTTCATCCTCACACTCACCCTGTCACACCACCCGGCGTGCTTGTGTCCCCTCACTCCTCCACACGCAGACTTGCGTCTCGCCCGCTGGGATGCACTCACCTGCTGTCTCTCACTCATCCATTCCCACCACACATGCCCCCGTGTCTGGCACACTCACCCGTCCCCGTTACACATGCCCCAGCCTCGCACACTCATCCCATACATGCCCCAATGTCTCTCACACCTGCTTCCCATCATGTCCCCCATCCTTGCACACTCCCTCCACTTCATACACCCCTGTGTATCTTGCACACCCGCTCCCCATCACATATGCCCTCAGCCTTACACACTCACCCCACATCTCTCACATGCACCCTCATGTCTCTCACTCACGTGCACCCATGTGCCTTGCATACACGCCTCCATCACATGCGCCTCCCAGCCTTGCACACTCACCCCAGTCCCATGTACCTCCTGCCTTGCACCCCCTTTGCAAGCACCCCTGTGCCTCATGCATGCACTCACCTCATACACTCACCCATGCATTCACCCCACTTGCACACTCACCATGCCTCTTGCACATTCATCCACACACTCATCATGTCCCACGGACGCACACTCGCCCCATCTCCCTCCCAGCAGCGATCCAGTGGCTGTGGGTCTGATCAGTGGGGCTGGGCAGAAGAGCTGGGAGCCCTGTGGGGGAAAAGAAAATCATGTCACACACTGGGTTCCAGGCAAAGAGGACATAAATTTCCTCCCCCGCATTTGCAAACAGCCCCCCGAGACCCGCGCAGCCCCGGGCTCGAGATTCACCGGGCCCTGCCTGCACCAGCCAACGTTGATGGGGGCCCTAATCTCAACTTGGGGGCGGGGGTGTCTGTGTGCCTGAGGACGGGCTGATTGGGGGCAACACCGACCCCACCCCCCAGCCAAAGCTGGGGGCCCTGGTGCTGCACAGACCCCAGTGAGACCATCCCGGCCCCAAAGGGCTGCCACACGAAACACACTAAAAATTATTTACAGATGGGGAAAATGTGGCACAGAGCGAGGAAGAGAGAGAACCCAGGAGCCCTGGCTCCCAGCCCCCACAGCTCTAACCCAGACAGACAGACAGACAGACATCCGAGTGGCCCCGACCTGGGATAAGGCGGGGGGGGCGCGTCGTGGACTCCCGATGCCTCCAGTGCCTCCTGGTACGAGGGCAGCCCGGGGGGGCCCAGAGGCTTGGGGTCCCCAGGGAGGCAGGTCAGGGGCACGTCAGGGTTCAGGGGGACATGGACGCTGTGGGGGAGACAAACGGGGGTTATGGGGGGCACACACCCCTCCCCCCCGCAAATCCACCTGGGGGATGTCACCTCAGCACCTCCCCCATGGGCCCTGTGCCCCTCCCACCCTCCCCTGCGGCCCCCTTCCTTCCCCCTAGGAGTGCTGTACCCCTCCCCCAGCTCCTGCCCCCTCCCCCTTCCCCCCAGGCCTTGCTGGGCCCCCCCCATTACCTGTGCTGCCTGCGCTCCTTGGACCGGTACTTGACCCAGTACATGGCAACGACGCCGACCATGATCATCAGCACCAGCCCGGCCACCAGCCCGGCCACCAGCCCGGCCACGTCCAGCCCGGGGCTGTCTGTGGAGGGCGGGGGGGGGGGTTAGTAGAGAGGAGACCCCATGTCTCTAGGGGCACCAGCTCCCATCCGGCCCCAGGGCGGAGACTGGCTGGCTCGGGGGGGGGGGGGGAGGAATGGGGCACGGGGCCTTTCTCCTCGAGGGGTCACCAGCTCCCACCCGGCCCCAGGGCAACGACTGGCTGGCTCAGGGGGGCAGGAATGGGGCACGGGGCCTTTCTGGAGGGCGCCGGCTCCCATCCAGCCCCAGGGTGGGGACTGGCTGGCTCAGGGGAGCGGAGAATGCGACATGGGGCCTGTCCCCTCTAGGGGGGGCGACTCAGACTCACCTGAGCTCCCGCCTTTCCCGTTGTGGGGGTAAGTGTTCCAAAAGGCTTTCTGGGGGGAGGAACACAAGGGATGGGTGGTTAATAAAGGGGGTACAGCTGTTCTGCTCCCCCACATCTGCCTCCACCCTCCATTTAGAGCCCCTTATTCACTAAACCCCATCCCCTACCAGGAGTCCTGGCTGCCAGCCCACCCCCACACTCCAACCACTAGACCCCACTCCCCTCCCAGCACCAGGGATTGAACCCAGGAGTCCCAGCCCCCCCAGACCTCTAACCCATCATGAAAGGGAAAGGGGGCAAATTGACAGGTAATGCCACACAGTGAGGGTGCGCCGGGGGAACACTATGCCACAGGATTTCACGGCTGGTCCAGAGCTCTTTGGGTTTGCAAGAAGGGTGGGAGAGTCCTATTGCGCTTGGGCCTGCGGAACTCCCCAACACAAGGCCCCAGAGGCTGGGCGGCTAGCAGGGCTCTCCTGACCCCTAAGTAAGGAGGCCTGGGGTGGGGGGGGAGAAAGACTTCCCGGGGGGGGGGGCAGTTACCTGGTAATGAGATGGTTTATGGTGCTGGGCCTGTACCTGCTCAGAGATGGGATGCTGAGCTAGATGGGGGTGATGGGGGGGGGTACCAGGCTGGCTGGGGGTACCTCAGAGCTGCCTCACCCCCACAAAATGAGGGAGAATCTCCCTCGCCCCGGAGCAGTGCAGGTATTAAGATCTCAGACCTCAATGCCGCAGGGCCCCTCACCCAAACCCCAGACCCGGGTGACGCACCCACCCCCACGTGGCTGGGAAGGAATTTACCTGCCCCCAGGGAGACAGGGGTAGGGGGTGGGAACGCAGGTGTCCAGGCTCTGGGATCCTTCCCAGAGACATGGCTCCCCCAACCCCCCACCACATGGCACCCAAGTCCCCTGCCCCTCTGCAGCCTCCTGGGCCCCTGTGCCCCGCCAGCTCCCTGTGCGCCCCCCCCACCCCGGTACTCAGCTGTTGCAAAGTCGTTCTCAAAGACTTCCCGGGCCTCCTCGTAGTTGCAAACCTCCTCCCAGCACTCGCGCTCCAGGTTCCCCGGCGTCACCAGCTCGAAGTCCCAGTGATTGTAGAGGAGCCGGCGCCCCAAGAACCCCTGCGCGGCGTCTGCACCCAGGAACACTGGAGGGAGGGGGGGAAGAACGGGGCTCAGGACGCCTGGGTTCTCTCCCCCACTCTGGGAGGGGGGGAGCTGGGAGCCAGAACACCTGGGTTCTCTCCCCAGCTCTGAGAGGGGAGTGGGGTCTAGTGGGTCCAGATTTAGGGCACTCACTCTCCTAATGGGTTGGGAGGGGGAGGGATTCAGCCAGGATCCTGAGTTGCTCCCTCTCCCAGGGTCTGGGACCCCCATTAAAGTCCCCCCCACACACACACTTACCTTGTCCCGCCGGTGGTGCATGGGGCTGCTGCCTGTGGGGGGTGCTGGAAAAGGCGGAGGCGAAAGCCTGGCCCAGCAGGAGCAGGACGGGTGCCCTCCACATGATGGGGTGGGAGACGGGGGACCTATAATGGGTGGAGGGGGGCAAAGTCAGGGTAGGGGGGCAGCCAGCCCAGCATCCCCTGGTGCCCCTTCTCCATCACCCCTGGAGTTGGGCACCCCCCACTCCACGATCTCCAACTGGTACCAGGCTGACACCCCCAAATCCACCCATTGTGTTACCCCAAATCCCCCCTGCTCCTGGTGCAGTGAATCCTATCCCCTGATTCCTACACCACCCCAAATCCACCCCATCCCCAATTCCTCTAGCACCCCCAAATCCACCCCCTTCCTAAACCCCCATTCCCCAATTCCTATACCACCCCCAAAACTCTCTCAAACCCCCACCCCCCCCAAATCCACCCATCCCCCGACTCATCTAGCACCCTCACAAATCCACCCCCATCCCCAGTCCATTTAGCACCCCCACACCACGATCCCACCCCCTGTCCCGGCCCCAAACCCTCCCTTGTCGCCTCCGCCCCTCCCCGCCCCGCCCCACACCACAGGGAAGTGCCCGGAGTTCACTAGTTCCCGGTTACCACCCCCCCTCCCCGGCCAGGGCCCCCCACCCGAAGCAGCCAGCTCAGGCCCGGACCCCCAGGGGAAAGTTTCCAAGCGGAGCCCGACCTCACCTGCCGCCCGTCCGGGAAGGGGAGGCCGGCCAGAAAGGGGGGGTGGGGGGCTCTGCCCGTAACCAGCCCCCCAGGAGCGGTCCAGCTATGTGGGGCTGATCCCAGGGGAGCGCGGCGAGCGGGGGCCCGAACAGCTCGAGGTTCCCAGGGACCCGGACGCCTGGGTTCTTGTTTTGGACAGAGACAGCAGCTCCAGCCCAGGTGAGGGAGGGGGAGGGTCCAAAGGTCACATGGCGGGGGAGGGGCAGGTGCAGCCTGGACAGGTGGATGCCAGGTGCCGGGGGAGGGGATTCCCAGGGAATTCTGGGGGGCAGCGTGGGAGGCTCCTGGAGGGCAGGTGACAGGGGTGCTGGTGCCAGGAGGTTGCACGGGGAGATCCCGGGGGGGCAGGTGCCAGGGGTGCCGGGTGGGGGGAACCTGGAGGAGCAGGTGCTGGGAGGGGTGTGTAGGGGATCGGAGGAGGGGGGTAGGTGCCGGGGGACGGTGTGGGAGGATCCCAAGGGGGCAGGTGCCAGTAGGTTGCGTGGGAAGATCCCGGGGGGGGGCAGGTGCTGAGGGGCTGTGTGGGGAGACGCGTGGGGGGATCCCGCGGGGGGCAGGGCTTGGAGGGCTGTGCAGGGGGGGAATGGGGTGGGAAATGGTGCTGAGAGCCCAGTAGACGCGGTGGGGTGGGGTGGGGGGTGAAGGAGTCGGGGGGCAGGCAGCGGGGACTCTGCATGGGCAGGCGCAGGACTCAGGTGAGGGGCGCTGCGCATGTTGCCAGCCTGGGCGTCCTTCGCCCCACCCCGCAGGGCTGGGGGCCGCAGCCAGGTGGGGAGACCCCCCTCCCCGTGACCTTTCCATGTAATGAGCCTGTTTGTGAGGGCACGACATGGGATTGGAGGGCTGGTCCGGGACTCTGGGGGCGGGGGGGTAGAGCAGGGGGACTGGGAGCCGGGACTCCTGGGTTCTCTCCCCAGCTCTGGGAGGGGAGGGGGAATCTAGTGGTTAGAGCCGGGGGGGGGAGGGCTGGGAGCCAGGACTCCTGGGTTCTCTCCCTGTCTTGGGAGACAGACTGAAAATGGGGGAAGGCTCCTGGCACCACTTCTTAGCCCCCCCCCGCTTTCCCCGGCGGGGGGAGCAACCCACCCCGGAACCCTCCCGTCGGGTCCCGTTTGCAGGCCGGCCGGATTTCCAGGCTGCACCGCGCGGGGATATGTGCGGCTGCTCCACTTCCGGCCGGCTCCAATTCCTGTTTCCGGCGCGGTGGGGGAGTGAGGCGAGGGGAGGCGAGGCCGGCCCCGGGGGGGGGCGGTAACCAGGAAACCCTCGGGATGTGACGGGGGTGGCGGAGGGTCCCCGCTAGAAACGGGTCCCCCCGCCCCTCCCCCACCCGAGTATGGGGGGTCCCCCCTGGAAACGGGTCCCGCGCCCCCATTCCTCCCTTGGGCGTGGGGTGGCCGGCCCACGAACTCCCCCAATGTATGTGTTGCTCGGGGGGGTCCCCTAAGGCACGAGCCCCCTCCTGACCCCCCCCCCGGCATGGTGCACCGTGACAGCCCCCCACCAAACGCCCCCTCCCCCCCCACGAGGGACCCTGTGGTCTGCCTAGCCTGGGGGGGGGAGGGGGGGTGTCCTGCGCCTCATGCCTCCGCCAGCCCCGGTCCATCCCCCTATGGGGCGGCCGCCCCCCATTCCGTAGCTCGCGGGAGCGTTCATGGGAGGGGTGTCTTGCTCCACTGGGCCAAATCCGGGCAGCGCCCCAGCGCCCTGGGGGGGGGAGGCGTGTGGGGTGGATGGGGGGGGCTTCCCGCTGTCCCTGGCTGCAGAGGGACAGACCCCCCCCCCAAGAGCTGCCCGGAGCGGGACCCGTGGGGCTAGTCGTGTTGTCTTGCCTGTGTTTCGACAGGGCAGAAGACGCGCCCCGGGGAACAACGGGCCCATCGGCCTGACGGGGAGCCCGCGCCTGGTGCGGGACTCGGCGCATCCGGCGTTAACGGAGGGAAACGTGATTGATGCCGGTCAACGTGGGCTTTCGGAAAACAGGTCCCGTTGGACGAGCTTGAGACCTGCGTTTGCCGAGATCGCCGGGGGGGGCGCGGATAAAGGTAACGACACCTGCAGAGCGGATGTCCCCAGCTGTGCGGCCGCTCCCGTGCTACCGGGTGACGTTTTGGTTAGCAACATTCGACTGATCTCAACTTTACCACGGCCCCCGTGACGTGGCGAAAAACTGCCTATCTACTAGACCGCAGGGTGTAAACGGGGCATCATCATTGAGCGGGTGTGTTTCCACTGGGGTCTTTCAGAGGTTAGGCTCTTTGCTATTTAACACCTTTACCATTGACCTGGCGTCATGGATCCACAGGACGGGGGCTGCCCCCCTTCCCCCCCAGCTTTGGAATGGTGACAAAGTGGGAAATTTCGTAATGTTTGGTGTGAATATTGTGGGTGCCTCAGTTTCCCCGTGTGCTGCGTGTTCGACTAGGTGGAGGGAAAAGGTTCTTCCATCTTTGCAGAGACCCAGAGGACCAGGTGTGATTGTCTGGCTGCCTGGGCCCACGCCCATGGAGAACCCCCAAGACAATGCCTGGACGTCGGGTGCCTAGCAACCTAGAGTCACTCCTGACTAATCAGGGGGTGCATTGCTCCCTTTGGGCATGTGTCTCCCCCAGGGGTCCCATCCAGGGGGACTCGCTGCAGGGAGCTCACGGCGTGATACAGGGGGGCTGCAGGCTCTGAGGTCCGGTCCCAGGAGGCGGGGAAGGCAAAGGGCTCACCCCAGGGAGAGAGAGAGTGACCTGCGAGGAGGATTGGCATGCTGAGGGGGTCCTCCTGGGCCTGTGACTTGGTGTGACAGAGCACCGGGCCTGTGACTCCGTGACCGGTGGTAGCTAGGGGATGGTTGGCGAGTGCATTTGGTGGGCGGTACAGCAGTGTCTTGCAGTAGTAAAGCAAGGGAAGAAGGAACCAGCAAGAGCATGGTGTATAGCCATCTCCCTGCCTAGGACCCTGCCAGCCTGTGCAGGCGGAGAGGGTTAGGCCTTGGGAAGCTCAGCCAGGCAGAGCAGCGAAAGCATGAACTGCAGTTGGAGGCATGGAGGGGGTAACAGGACCCCCCGACGGGTAAGCGGGGAGAGGGCCCCAAAAAGGGCGGGGTGAGCAATCACCTTCCTGCCGAGGTGCTGATGGGGAATGATTTGGAAGACTGGCAGGGCAGCACCTGGAGCCAGGGCCACCCTCCCTGCCCTGGCACTGAGCTTATGCCCAGCTTGGGACCCTCCGACTGAGGGAAAGTGAGCTATTGGGGATAGGGCTCCAGGCTTTGTCCCGAGGTGGGGAAACTGAGGCACAGCCAACGTGGGTTGCCAGCGAGCTGGGCCAGGTTCCGCTCCCTACCCCAGCAGCTGAATTTCAGACCAAGCTGCAGAAGAATCCCTAATTAGAGAAGCTGAGGACCTTTGTTGGCCACGGCGTTGTGAGACCCCTTAGGGGAAGATTCCTGTGTCAGAAATGGGCTCCGATGGGGAGATGGGGGGCAGCTGCTGGTCCCCCGGAAGCACCGCCACAGGCTACTGTACCTGACCAGCGCTGGTCCGCTCTCGGGACACCAGGGAATCCAGCGCACCCGGCAGTGGTTGCTGTAGAATTTTTCCTGGCCTGGAGTCTTGGATGCCGTCCGGCAGTATTGCAGGTCCTGTGCCCCTGCCGGGGCGGGGAGAGGCCCAGCACAAGGGGAGAGCAGCATTGAGGACCCTGCCCATCACAGAGGAACCTTCTAAGAAGGTGGCCATGAACATAGTGGGGCCCCTCAGAAAGGCGGCCCGGTCAGGGAAGAAATACATCATGGTAGGGGTAGATTTCGCTACTTGCTACTTAGAGGCGGTGGCTCTGTCCTCTGTCAAGGCAGACACCGTAGCAGACGTGCTGCTGACTATTTTCAGCAGAGCGGGGGTCCCCAGCGAGGTCCTTACAGACCTGGGCTCCAGTTTCTTGTCAGCCCCGCTCCAGGTCTCTGGGAGAAACATAGGGTCTGGCCCACCTGGGCCTCAGAGTATCCCCTTCAGTCCAACGGGCTGGTGGAGAGGTTTTATGGGACGTTAAAGATGATGCTGAGGACGCGTATGGACCAGCATCTGAACAAGTATCTACCCCACCTGCTGTTCGCGTACCGGGAAGTGCCCCAGGAATCCACAGGATTCTCCTCTTTCAGGTTGCTGTATGGAAGGAGAGCGAGGGGACCCCTGGACTTGGTGAAGGATGAATGGGAGGGGAAGGCCGCTCCCAGGTTCCCCCGGCCGCTCAGGGGCTTGGCCAGGGGGAACCTCGCCAGGGCGCAAGGGAGGCAGAATGTCTGGTACAACCGCACGGCATGTGCCTGCTTCTGTGTCCCTGGTGGGTCTCTTCCCTGAGCCAGGAATCAATTCCCCTCTCTGCCTGCTCGCTAGCCAAGCTGTGCACCGGGTGGAGACAGCTGGAAACGCCCATTGGGGTTATGGTTCAGAATCCCTGGGAAAACAGCCGGAGACCTGCAGACCGAGGGCAGAGACATGCTGGCTTTACGGGTGATGCAGCTGCCCACCAGCCCCTGGGTCTCTCCCGTAGGGTTGGTCCCCAATAAAGACGGGGGTTCAAACCAATTCTGTGTGGACTGTTGGAAGCTCAGTGCCATCACCGTGTCTGATGCTTATCCCATGCCTGGGCCTGATGAGATTCTAGACAAGCTGGCGGGGAGGGTTACCTCACTGCTGTGGATCTCACCAAAGGCTACTGGCCTGTGCCTTTGCACCGAAAGGCCAGGTTAAAATCTGCCTTCACCACCCCAATAGGAAGTGCTTAATTTGTGCCAGGCGCCTCCGGGCTTGGCCATTCCTCGCCCCAGTGCCTCCGGGCTTGGCTGTTCCTGGCCCCGGCGCCTCCGGGCTTGCCACATCAGTTATGAAAGTAAAAAAATTGCTTGAGCCCCAGCACCTCTTTTGTTACAAATTATATAGTGCTTTGTGAGTTCCTGGTCCTACCTTTTGGCCTCAAGGGAGCACCTGCCGCATTCCAGCTCTGGGTGGATCAGTTACTATGCTCTGAAGAAGGCTCTAAGCCAGGGCCCGCTTCTGGTAAACTCAGACTTCAACAAGTCTTTCCTGGTGTCCCCAATGCCTCAGGCCCAGGGCTGAGCGAGAACCTGCTGCCCTGGAAGCAGAGCTAGGCCACCAGGGAGAAGGGATGCCTGGCCATGGGGTGGGCTCTTAAAAAGCTGCAGCTGTATCTATTTGGGGGGCACTTTACTGTGTACACTGACCACTTGCCCCTGACGGGCTGCACCAAATGACGGGGGCTAATGCCAAGCTGCTGATCCTCCAGGATCATGAGATGGATGAAGGCCATGTGAATGGATGTGTAAAAGTTTTGGCAGATGCTTTGTCCCGGAGAGGGGGGGGCCTGAGCTTCCCCACGTTACCGGCTGAAGTGACCCTGCTCAGTTCAGTCTCGGGGACAGAGAGGTGACGAAGTGGGAATTTTCGTAATGTTTTATGTGAATGCTATGTGTGCCTCAGTTTCCCCCGTGTGCTGCTTGTTTGACTAGGTTGGGGGAAAAGGTCGTTTGATCTCTGGAGAGACTCGGGGACCAGGTGTGATTGATGCCTGGCTGCTGGGCCCCATGCCCATGGAGAACCTGGAAGACGACACCCGGGCATTTGGTGGTTAGCACCTAACAACCCAGCAGGTGCTGGGTTCCAGACAGTTAAACTGGCTGAGATTCCCTCCAGACTAAACTGGGGGTACGTTGCTCCCTTTGGGGGTGCCAGTCTTTCCCAGGGGTCCCATCCAGCTGGACTTGCTGGGGGAAGCTCCCGGCGTGCCGCAAGGGGGCTGCAGGCTCCTGACGCGGTGCTGTGACCAAAACGGCTAATGGAATCCTGGGGTGTGTAAACGGGCATCTCGAGGTGGGGCAGGGGTTAGCCAGCCCTGGGGCGGCTGTGGCTGGGACCCTGCGTCCCGTCCTGGGGCTCCCACCTCACGGAGGAGGGTGATGAGTTGCAGAGGGGTTGGCAAAGAGCCCCAAGAAGGGTACAGGTGTCAGCAAGAGTCCAGGAGCTGCGGCTATTTAGCGTCAAGAGAAGGTGAAGGGGGAACTGGGTCCCTGTCTGTAGGTACCGAGGTGGGGACCAAATGCTCAGGCTAGGAGAGGATGGGCTAACACAGGCGGGTCTCTGGCCTGGGTGATCCAGGGGGTCGGACGAGGTGACCACAGCAGATCCATGGGGTTTGTGGAAGGTTTGCCCCTTGGGGACTGATCACAGCTGCATCCCCCGTCTGGTTTGGTGATTGGGGGGGGTCCCCCTTTGCTGGCCGGAGGTGGGGGGTCTGTCCCCCAGGAGACTGGATCTGGGATCAGTGTGGCCTTGGGACGTAACTGACTCCCTCCCCCAGGGACGCTGAGCCAGGATGACGCGTCACGGCAAGAACTGCACGGCTGGCGCCGTGTACACCTACCACGAGAAAAAAAAGGACACGGGTGAGATTCCACCTGCTGCGAAGAAGGGGCACCGGCTGAGCTGGGGGGGCGGGGGCGGTGGAGCCCAGGGCTGGCCTAGCAGGGGCTGTGGTTTGCGAGTGAGGGGCACCGGCTGAGCTGGGGGGGCGGTGGAGCCCAGGGCTGGCCTAGCAGGGGCTGCGGGTCGGGAGTGAGGGGCCGGCTGAGCTGGGGGGTGGGGGTGGGGGCAGGGCCGGGCTAGCAGGGGGCTGCGGGTCGGGAGTGAGGGGCACCGGCTGAGCTGTGGGTGGGGGGAGATCAGCTTCCATCCCTGTGCCCTGACTTTCTCCCCCCCGCCCCCCCACTTTCCAGCTGCCTCTGGTTACGGGACGCAGAACGTCCGTCTGAGCCGAGATGCCGTCAAGGACTTCGACTGCTGCTGCCTGTCCCTGCAGCCCTGCAAGGATCCCGTGGTCACGTAGGTATCAGGGTGCCAGAGGAACCCCCACATGGACGTGGGCCACCTGGGTCCTGGCAGCTGTATAGAGAGGCACCCGAAAAGGGGAAACATCCCTTCTGGGTCCTGGCAGCCATGTATTATTCAAACCCCCTGATGGTGCTTTAAAGCTGACCAACCGCATGGCCCCCAGCCTGGCAGCCCCCGGGTGGACAGAGAATCCCTGAGCCGGCACATCCCGGTCTGCAGATGGGTAAGCGGGGGGCCGGTCTGTGGGGGGCCTGCGTCTCAGCCTCCTGCCCCTATTTCCCCCCCCGCCCTCCCCCAGGCCTGACGGATACCTGTATGAGAAGGAGGCCATCCTGGAGTACATCCTGCACCAGAAGAAGGAGATCGCCCGGCAGATGAAGGTAACGTCCCTGCTGGGTCCCTGCTGTCCTGCTCCCCTTGGGGGCTGCGGGTCAGGAGTGAGGGGCACCAGTGGATCTGGGGGACAAGGCTGGGAGGTGGTAATTTCTCTCCTGGGGCCCTGACTGGGCTCAGTTTCGGGGAGCTGGGCCCCATGGGTCTGGCTGCCTCACCCCCCCCCCCATCCCAGTGGCTGACCTGTGGAACTGCAGGTGGTGGGTTTGAGGCCCATCACTGACAGCCTATGGAGGGGGGGTGTTAGGGTGACGGGGCAGGAGGGCTCTGGGGGGTTGTCCCTGCAGCAACACCCCCCCCCCCGGGTGCTGCAGGCCTACGAGAAGCAGAAGAAGGAGAAACGGACGGAGCTGGAGGAGCTGAGCCGGGCGGCCGAGGATGCCAAGGTGAAGGGCTTCCTGGCCAAGGAGATGAGCATCGTCAGCAAACCCCTGAACCCCTTCGACCACAAATCAGGTATGGGCAGCAGGGGCTGGGGGTCAGGAGTGAGGGGCACCGGCAGAGCTGGGGGGGCGGGAGGACATAAGGGCTGGGCTGGCAGGGGCTGCAGGTCAGGAGTGAGGGGCACCGGCAGAGCTGGGGGGCGGGAGGACACAAGGGCTGGGCTGGCAGGGGCTGCAGGTCGGGAGTGAGGGGCACCGGCAGAGCTGGGGGGGGGCGGGAGGACACAAGGGCTGGGCTGGCAGGGGCTGCAGGTCGGGAGTGAGGGGCACCGGCAGAGCTGGGGGGGTGGGGGGCGGGAGGACACAAGGGCTGGGCTGGCAGGGGCTGCGGGTCAGGAGTGAGGGGCACCGGTGCGTTCCAGGGGACCCCCAGCCCGGCCCAAGCAGCGCGGAGGAGGCCAAGCAGCTGCCCAGCTTCTGGATCCCATCGCTGACCCCCGAGGCCAAGGCCAGCGTGGTGCGGAAGCCGGTGAGTGCGCCAGGGCCCCCCCCCCCACACACACACACATTGCAGCTCTCCCAGAGCATCCTGGGAGGAGCTGAAGCTTCACCCCCCGCCACTCTCCTGGCCCCCGGTGGCATCTGCCCCCCGGGCACTTCTATACGGGCTGTCACCTGTCTGTGAGATCCCCAGAGCGGGGCAAGGGGCTGAGGCAACTCCTGACAAGTTACATAGGCCCCCACCCTTGCCCTGCTCTAACCACTTCACCCCACTCCCATCCCAGGGCCAGGGAGAGAACCCAGGCGTCCTGGCTCCCAGCTCCCCGTCTCTATCCCCCACAGGACCGGTGCGTGTACTGCCCCATGAGCGGCCGGCCCCTCAAGCTGAAGGACCTGACCCCGGTGTGCTTCACACTGCTGGACCCGGCGGTGGGTCGCGTCGGGCTCATCAACCGGCAGGACCGATACGTCTGCGCCGTCACCCGTGACATGCTGGGCAACTCGGTGCCCTGCGCCGTCCTGCGGCCCTCGTGAGTTGGGTGTGAGGGGCAGAGCTGGGGCAGGTCTAGCAGGGGGCTGTGGGTCGGGAGCAAGGGGCACCGGCAGAGCTGGGGCAGGTCTAGCAGGGGGCTGTGGGTCGGGAGCGAGGGGCACCGGCAGAGCTGGGGCAGGTCTAGCAGGGGGCTGCAGGTCGGGAGCGAGGGGCACCCCAGGCACGGGGAGGCTAGACCCGCCCTCGTTGGCTGGGCAGTCAGGTGGCCTGGGCTTTCTGCCCCCCCCATAGCCACTCTCTCCCCCCAGGGGCGCCGTGGTCACCCTGGAGTGCGTGGAGCGGCTGCTGAAGAAGGACATGGTGGACCCGGTGAACGGGGAGAAGCTGCGGGAGGACGACATCATTGTGCTGCAGCGGGTGAGCGGCTGCACCCCACAGCCGGGAGGGGCCTCCCTGCAGAGCCCCCTCCCTGCCCGTTACCCACCCAGCAGCCTGGGGCAGGGGTGGGGGCTGAAGGAGGGGGACGGCGGGGGCAGTGTCAGGGCAGCCCCCTAATCTCACCCTCCCCCGTTTCTCCCCTCAACTGTCTTCCAGGGCGGCACGGGCTTCGCTGGATCCGGGGTGTGTCTGGAAGCCAAGAAGTCTCGCCCTGTCATGCAGGCCTAGCCCTGCCCCCTTCTTCCCAGGGGCTTGTGCCACACGGGGTGGGGGCAAGTCGTTTTAACCTGGGGACCCCAGCGCCGCTGCCTGCCCTCCTGAGCAGGGAAACTGAGGCAGGCGCTGGGTCAGCGTGGGCGGAGGGCGGCCCTCTGCCTCCGCGCTGCTTGTAGTGTGTGTCAATAAAGCCGTGTGTCACCCATAGCCCGTGTGGGCCTGATTGCTGTCACGTCCCCCCTTCCGCGCCCTTTCTCCCAACTGAACGCACCCGTCCCGTCAGCTGCCAAAGGGGGAGGCAGTTCTCCGGCCAAGGCCTAACCGGCGCGGGACAGGAACTCTGCGCGTGCGCAGTGGCGCAGTATCCCCGCAGGAGCAGGGCCCCTCCCGTGACTTCCCCATCGTGTCTCTGGTCACGCCGGCTGCCTGATCCGTAGTCCCCCAGCTCCTCCTTTGGCCCCTTTTTAAAGACGGGCACCAATTTCGCCCTTCTCCAGGCCCTCTCCTGTCACCTCTCAGTTTTCACCACTACTGGCTCTGAGATTTCTTCCAGCCCCGCTGACTTGAATTCGTTCCGATTGGTCCGAAGATCTCGGGCGAGTTCTTTACTTGTCCCGATCCGCGTCCCGTCCCCTGTATCGCCGGGGGGAACGTCGCTCGGCGTCCGGTCACGATATTTTTTGTGAGCAGACCGGAGCGAAGCCGGCAGGGAGCAGCGCCGCCTTCCTGTCGCCTCCCGTTCCCAGCTCGGCTTCCCCTTTGCGCGGCCGACCCACCCCGTCCTCGATCGTGTTTGAAGAACCCCTTCCGGCCTCCCGTTCCTCGCCAGCGGGAACTCGGCTTTCCTGGTGTGGGCCCTACCCACTCGCGCTCGTGCCACGGACACTTCCATGGTGACCTCCCCTCCTTCGTTCCCTCTCTGGATGCCCCTCGGGTTTTAGAGCGCTGAGAAGATCCTTGGGCTGCCACGTCAGCCTCCCGTGGCTCTTCGAAGCTTCCTTCCGTGTGAGACTAGCTTGGTGTCGAGCCTCCAGTATTAGTCCTTGGAGGATCTGCCAGCCCCTTTCGGCTCCTTTTCTTCCTATTTGCTCTCTCCGTGGGACCCTGAGTTGTCGTGTTGCTGGGCTCGTGTCCTCCACTCCATCGGATCCCGATCGCAACCCCTTTCCCGTTCGCAGCTTATTCATCCCCCCGCCACTGCTCCCTGGGGCAGGACCCTGGCACGGCGCAGCCCAACAGCCCCTGGGATCCGCCCGTGGGCAAGCCAGACCCGGGCTGGGCTGCGGCGGGGCTCGGGGCCGGAGTCGCTTTGCGGCGGTGCCTGCCTGAATCTGCAGGCAGCCTGCGACGTAAGTCAGCGCCGTGAACCAGCCTGGGGTGTGCGTTACCAGAGGCACGGCGGGCAAGATACGGGAGGGGCCCTGCGCCACTGTGCGGGCGCAGAGTTCCCGTCCCACGCCAGTTAGGCCTTGGCCGGAGACCTGCCTCCCCCTTTGATCACCAATGTCTAGGAAAGACGTGGAGATCCAGGGGAAGACCCCACCCCCTGCCACTTGCACCCCATGTCTGATTGCAGCTGGGGCGATGTCCCTTCCAGCCCTATAGCCCCGGGCAGGAGGCACATGCCCCCTGCCCCATATACATTCGTGAGCAGTGCCTGGCACCGGCTAGTTATGCAAATGCAGTCCCAGGAAATGGCAAAGGCGCATCCTGGCGCCGGGTGAATACAAAGCTAGGCCAGACTCATAGCCGGGGCTGTTTTGTTCGAGGCAGAGGGGGTGTCTGTCTGGCCTGGGGGGGAGCGGGCCCCCCGCACCGAGCCTGTGGTCTCCTTGGGCAGTTTGCTCGAGAGCGGCTGGGCTGGCCGTGATGAAGTGGTACTGTTCTTAATGTTTCCTCTGAATACTCTGGGGGTGCCTTAGTTTCCCCTAGGCATTTCTTAAGTCTCCAGGTGGGGGGATAAGGGGGGGTGATTGTTGCAGAGCAAAGGGCCAGGGTCCATAAATGGCGACACTCTGTCTCCTGGCAGCTGATGGCCTGGGCCCTTCCCCCTGCCAGGTGAGAGCTAAAAGGCTGGAGAACTAAGGGATCTGGTGCCCTCCTGGCCCGGGAAAAGGACAAAGCCCAGAGGAGGGGGGGCTAGAGGGGGAGTCAGTTGGGGGCTGGCTGGGACATGGAGTGAAGGGCAGATGGGGTTGTCTGGCTTCCTGCCCCCCAAAATGGACCCAGCTGAGGGGTCCGGTTCTCTGCACCTACAAGCTCTGTGTTAGACCATGTTCCTGTCGTCTAATAAACCTTCTGTGTTACTGGCTGGCTGAGAGTCACGTCTGACTGCGGAGTCGGGGGGCAGGACGCTCTGGCCCCCCCAGGACCCTGCCTGGGCGGACTCGCTGGGGGAAGCACACGGAGGGGCAGGGGAGGCTGGAGGCTCCGGGGTCAGCCCCAGGAAGGTGGAGCCGGGGGAGCTGTGTGTCCTGCAGACAGGCTGCTCCCAGAGAGGAGACTCCCCCAGGGTCCTGCCTGCCTGCGCGGGGAGCAGCGCCCGGGGACCCCGTGACACCGGCTACCTGGCCAGAGCCCGTGCAGGCCGAAGAGCGAGCCCACCCGCAGCCAACAGCTTCCCCCAGCTCCCGCCAGTCAGCTCCGGTGGGCACAGCCTGAGTGCAGCCCACGGCCCCCTGCCCAGCCCCGGGGACCCACAGCATATGGCGGGTTGGACATGGGCAGAGTCCCTGGAGAAGGCAGCAGGGGGAGAACCGGCCCACGGGATCAAAATGGGGGGGGGAGCTCAAAAGGGGTATTTGCCCCCTGGCAGGGCAGGACTGTTTGAGCCGGGGGTGACCCCCATGTGCTTTGGGCCAGAATGGCCCTGTGCCCCCTCCCCATCCTGGGGCCAAATGGGGTCACTGCTCCTGAGGGGAAAGGCCCTGTGCCCCATTCCCACCCCCCTAAGCCAGCCCGTCCCTGCCCCCCCAGAGGGGAAAGGGCCAGATGGGAGCTGGTGCTCCCCACCCGCATGGGGAAAGGCTCTGACCCCAACGTCCCCCCCCAACAAAGCACACCCAGCCCGGCAGAGGTGGGGGAGACCCTGTTTATTGTAGCGTGTGTGCTTACAGCTCTGTGCTCCCCCCAGCAGCACTGATCCCCCCATCCCTGCACCCCCCCACTCGCTGGCAATTAATGCCTGATGCAGAAAACGGGGACTGGGGGAGCTGCTCCTATGCCATCCCCTCCCGGGGCCGTATGAGTGAGTGAGGGGTGGGGGCTGGGAACCTCGGTCACAGCTCGGGGGGGTTTGTGCGTGTCCATCAGCCCCCTCCCCCCGGTTAATACTGTTGTTTTTTACAGTGCTGGCGGGTGGGGGGATGGGTTTGTTCTGCCAGCAGCCCACAGGTAAACTGAGGCACGGGAAAGGGAATGGCTCTCCCTGGGCATGCGGAGCTGGGGATGAAACCCAGGAGTGCTGCCCATCCCCCGCTCCCCTGCCAGAGTGGCGGGAGGGGAGAGAACCCAGGCGTCCTGGCTCCCTGTTCTACCCACTAGACCCCACTCCCCTCCCAGAGCTGGGGAGAGAACCCAGGAGTCCTGGCTCCCAGCCTCCTAGTCCGTGCCCTACCACAAGTCTGAGTAAATGTTGCATCTCCAGATCCGTATAGCCCCCCCAATAAATAAGTCCCCTCCCCCCCCAGGTCCTTGCAGGGGTGTTGTGGGGGGCAGGCCCGGACCCCCCAGGTCACAGCTCGTCGTGCTTGCGGGTCAGATCCTCCCCGTAGTTGGTAGCTTGGCTGCCCACGAACATGGTCCAATTGTCGAGGATCTCCTGCTTCGTCAGCTGCCCGTCCTGGGGGGGGCAGAGCCGGTTACAGGGGGTGGTCCTGGCTCCCCTCTCCACCTCTGGTCAGCCCCCCGCCCCCCCCCAGCCCTCTCCCGCCACTCACCTTGTCCTTGTCGGACTCGAAGAGCAGGTGCTTGGCCTCCACCTCGGGGTGGTCGTAGTCCTGGGGCAGGATCCAGTGGCCGATCTCGGCCCGGTCCAGCCGCCCGTCCCGGTCCAGGTCCCGGAAATCCAGGAACTGCTGCCGCTCGCCCTGCACCCACTCGGGCTCCGGCTCGCCGCTCTCGGGGGTGTACATGTCGCCTGGGGGGGCGGGTTGCGGAGAGACTCAGGGCCTGGAACCCCCCCACCCCAGCCAGGCTCCCGCTGTCTCCAACCCTCCCCCCAGAGACCCCCCACTCACCGATGTACTCGTCCACCTGCACGTAACCGTCCCCGTTCTTGTCAATGTCTTCAATTGTTTCCTGGGGGGGGACGGGGGCAGGAGTTAGGTGCTGTTCCCATGATGCTCAGCAGCTATGGGAACCCTTCTCTTCCCCCCCACCGGCCCCCCCACCTCCGCCAGCCTCAGCTTCCCCCAGGGCTGAGGGGTTCCTGGCTGGAGACAGGAATTGGGGGATGGGGGTGCAGTGAACGCTCCCAGCCCCCCACCACCCAACCACTCGCCCCTGCTCCCCTCCCAGAGCCCGGGAGGGAACCCTGGCGTCCGGGCCCCTCACCGTGACGACGATGTCCTTCATGTAGTCGAACTCCTCGGGGTGCAGGAAGGCGGTGAACTCCTCCCGCGTGGCCACCATGTCCCCGTCCCTGTCGGCCGCTTTGAAGCGCCGCTCGTCCCGCGCCAGCATCTTGCGGTAGGACTGTTTGTCCTCCAGGTCCCCGAACTCCTCCCCTGCGGGGGGCGGAGCTGTGAGCCCCCAGCCTGGGGATGGAACCCAGGAGTCCTGGCTCCCAGCCCCCACCCAAATTCTGTTGCCTTCAGAACTCCCCATCAAGGGGGTTATTCCCTCGCTAGCCACACGGTGGTGACAGAGACACCACCAGGCTGCTGGGGGGGCGGGGTTGTTTGTGTGTGTGTGTGGGGGGGGGTTCCCTTTCTCAGGGCTGCCCTATCCTGTCCCATGGCGGGGCCTGGCCCCCTCCACCATGCCTCTCCCATCCCAGCTGGGGCCTGACCCACCCCCAGCATAACGGCCTGCTCACCCCCCCCCCCCCACCTACCCCACCTTACTGTCACCCTGCCCCCTGAGTAGTTTCCCCCCCCCCCCCCCCCACTGCCAGGCATCTCACCTTCTGGCGAGCAGCCCCCACTCCCCTCCCAGGGCCAGGGAGAGAACCCAGGAGTCCTGGCTCCCAGCCCCCCCTGCTCTAA